TCACCTCGAGGACTAAGACGCGCCTGACCCAAGCCATGGTGTTTTCAATCGCCTCATATGTATGCAAAAGCTAGACAACGAATAAGGAAGACTGAAGAAGAACTGATGCATTTGAATCATGGCGTTGACAAATATTGAATATACTGTGAAATGTCAGAAGAATGAACATATCTGTCTTGGAATGGCGAGACTTCATCTCACATACTTTGGACGTGTTATCAGGAGGGACCAGTCCCTGGAGAAGGACATCAGGCTTGGTAAAGCAGAGGGTCAGCAAAAAAGAGGAAGACCCTCAATGAAATGGACTGACACAGTGGCTGCAACAATGGGCTCAAACAAAACAATGATTGTGAGGCTGGTGCAGGACCGGGCAGGGTTTTTGTTCTGTTGTGCAGAGGGTCGCTATGAGTACGAACCAACTTGACGGCACCTAACAACAACATTTTTGTAATCAATTGATATGTAGTTATTAGGGGACCTGGCTGTATGCTGGTGTGTCTTAGCTCCATGAGGGCCCAAAGTCTTGTCTCCTTATCCCATGTGTGCATCATAATGTAGTCCTTATATTAAGGAGAGCTCCCCGTCCCCAAGATCCTCATAATAGCTGGCAGCCAGCGTCAGCCCGTAAGTTTCCAACTTTAGTCTTCACTGCGCTGTTGGCCCATGGAAATGTCTCCTATTCCCTTTTGGTTAAGCATTGCATTTAATATTTATACAGCACTTCTAAATGTTTGTAGTGGGAAGATTTTCCCATTAGACAGAAGTTGAAGGGTATTTTCTTTGATGTGCCTATGCCAAAAGACTCCGAGAAGTTTAGCATTTCCAAAGAATAGTTTTATAACTCAGGTAGTTAGTAAAAGAGATTTCGTTTACAAATGAAAGCAAAAGATCAGCAGAGTGATGGTAATGCATATATTTAAACAGCAAAATAACAATTTTTTTTTTTTTTAGCAAATCACAGATAAAATAAAAACTATCACCAATGTTTCTCAGGGAGAAGTATCCACACATTAAAAGCCATTTGGCTTGAGTGCAAGATGGAGACACAGGCTATATTTTGTATTTGTGAACGCCTGACAAAAAATACCTCCATATACATGATGCCCCTTTAAGATAAGCAAGTCACCCTGCTAACTCAGAACTGAAGCCACTCCCAATGTCTACCTTTCAACCAAAGATTAGATAGGCCTATAAAACAAACAATAACACGTGTGAGGAACTTGTTTAATTTAACTAAGTATGGGAGACCAAATGGGCAATATCTACCTAAAAGCAAAGACAGAAAACAGGAAGGGACAGGAAAACTGGATGAATGGACCCAGGGAACCCAGGGTGTAAAGGGAAAAGGGGGTAGTGGTGACACATTGTGGGGATTGCAACCAATGTTACAAAACAATCTGTGTATTCATTTTTGAATGAGAAACTAATTTGCACTGTAAACTTTCACCTAAAACACAATAAAGTTAAAAAAAAAAAGATAAGCAGGTCAGATCAGTGGTTTAAGTGATTTACCCAAAGTTACAGTCAGTAAAATGGCAAAGCCTAGAATAGAACTGTTGTCTGCAAACTAAATTCCCTGCCAACAGTGTTACCATGGTAAAGCCACTCTCAGAGGTATCTTCTGCAGTCTTTGTATCTAGAAATCACTTATAAATTAGAAAAAAGAATAACAAAATGGGCAGCATAAAAATTTAACCCAAAGCTTCCCAAGTGGTTGGTTCAATTCAGGTATGCGCTAGCAAAGAGTAAGGAAGAGCATGGATTCATGCCTTAGACCTCCATTGTCCAATACGGTAGCCAACAGCTACATAAGGCTATTAAGATTTAAACTGATTAAAATTAAATAAAATTAAAAATTCAGTTCCTAAGTCACACTAGCCACATTCCAAGTGCTCAATAGCCACATGTGGCTGCTGGCTATCGTATCAGACAGTGCTGATATGGAACATGCCCATCACCGCGGTGTTCTACTGGACAGCGCTGCTATAGAATATATACAGAACTCTGGCTTTGAGGCTCAACAGAACTAGATTTGAATTCTTCCTGTCATCTATTTATTACCTTTGTGAGACCTGAGTAAATCTGTTAACTTCTCTGAGACTTATGTTCCCTCATCTGTAAATTCAGAATCAGAAAGAAGGTGCTGGGAACATCACTGCTGCTCAGTAACCACAGAATCTCCAGCCTCCCCACCCCTCACTGCACAGAATAAATATACTGCTTCCAAAAGTTTCGAAACAGTCACCAAACCTAAGCCCTTGCTTACCGTACGCATTTTTTCTGTAAGGTTCTACCTTGTTTGCGGGGGGGGGGGGATGGTGTGGTGGGCATTTTGTATAAATAAAAAAGTTACAAATAAATAAATAAATAAAACAACCAATGCAGAACTGGAAGAAGTTATAGTTTCATTTTCCATTACATTAACTTTGGGAACTGATTTAAGTGACACACTGGACCCAAAGGTGTAACTTGAGTTAAATGGGTCAGATGTCTTGGTGGTATTTTCCACAAGAGAACTTCCAAGAGCAGCTACAGAATCAGGTATAATTACCTGTATGCACAATCAGACACTAATTAACTTTTTATTTAAAGAACAAATCCCTGAACAACTCAATAGCTTGCTGAACTGAAAGACTCTTTTCCACTTTTAAGACCAGGTAGACAACACATACACCCAAGAGGCCGTTCCTCACAGACTCACTTTATGCTCTCCTGTCATTTCTCCCTGATACAGCTATTCCTTTAAATACTGTATTTCCCCAAGCTCCTCCCCTAGTCTGTTTCTAACAGACTCACAGTGTTGTACTTGACCTTTTCAGGCCCTTCTCTAGTCTGAAAACAAGTTGGTGTACTCTCAAATTTCCAATTAGCAATATTAGAAACAACATGGCCCTTAAGAGATGATTCAGTCCTCAATGAACCGAGGAATGGAATGACCTGGTTATGTGAGTTTCCAATTCTATAAAGAAAAACCACTGTTTCAACCCTTTATTGAAAATCTAAAATAAAATGCATTCGTTTACTTTTCTGCCTCAAAATATTCTAATTAACATAATAAATACTCCCTATGATTTAAAGTCCGACCTCATCATTATAACAAATTAATGTATAATTACCGCCAAAACCCACTGCCGTAGCTGACTCATAACGACCCTATAGGACAGAGTGGAACTGCCCCCTAGGGTTTCCAAGGCTGTACTCTTTATGAAGCAGATCGTCACATCTTTCTCCCGTGGACCGGCTGGTGGGTTCGAATTGCCAACCTGTCAGTTGGCAGGTGAGCACTTTAACCACTACACCACCATGCCACTGACTATAATACCACAATGGGGTTAAAGTTATCATGCTGACCCAAGACTATACTCTAGGTATTTGCTAGATTTTCACAAAATAAAACCTAACATTAGCTTTTTTTTTTTTTATTTCTTCCATACTTGGACTATAGAAATACTTTCAGATAACCAAAACTCTGATTAGTTAAGCTCTGATTAATCACGGTTCAATTATATTTGTGTTGTGTCACACTTTGAACTTCACAGGAACCTTTACTTGTGAAATAAATACAGGATGACTCAGTTCAGGCTTATGCTAAATGATAATTAAGTACACGGGCCTCTGATAATTTGTCTTCTGATTACTTTGACAATCAAAATTTTCCTAGGAGTCACAGCTAGATTAAGTTTACAGGTAGTGAAGAGCACAACTAAGCCAATTTCACTTAGAAAAAAAGGATCTGTGTCCCTTTGCAGATTTTCCCCTTTAGTGAAGTGTTCAGCACAAAGAAAACAGGCATCTGAACTTATTCTGTTAGCATTAGTTTAAAAAATCCACCTGAACTTACAGGTATTAAAATGCATTTCCAATATGTCCACAGAATTTAAAAGCTCAGGTAATTATCTGGGCAAATAGTTTACTGAGAAGTCAAGAGACAGATCCTATTTCACTTAAATACTTAAAAGTGAGGTAGGGAGAAGAATTTAGGGCTTCCAGCTTTAAAACAGACCTTGTTGTTTCTCCTTCAGGGAATTAAACAAGTATAATTTTATACTGAAGACATCTCCCCACCCCCTACCCAATAACAGTTACCTCCTAGTCAAGCACAATGCAAACACAGTAACTTTTACTTTTTAAATTAGAAGGAAGATTTCTCCAGTCTCTTAGATGATAGTTAAAGCACAATCACTCTGCTACCACAAGCAGTTTGATGTTCCCATGGTCAATGCCAAAATGATTGTCCTCTATCCCCACACACCTAGACCTTCAATACCTACACTACAGTACAGGAACCAAGTGTACTTTTTAGTACTGGGCTTTCTTGAAAGGGCCACTCTAACTTTGCTGACAACATTCAATCATTATTAAGAGTCTAAGAAATGCCTACAAGAACCCTGGAGTAAGAAGCAGAAGAAAGGGTTATAATCCTAATACTCCAACTGAGAAGCTGTCACTTACCTGAGTCCTGGTAGACCTAACCTCCTGCCTGCCCACACAGGTTACTGAAACATCAATATGAAAGTACAACAGCTCCTGGCACAGTGCTGGTACCCGACAGGCACTCAACTAAATAAACAACTTGAAAAAGACCACTATTCAGGGCAAAGACACTACTTTCTTCGTGGGAACTCAATACCTGTCCCCATCCTCTGTCTTCCAAACTAAGTTCTGTTGCTCAAGGGCATGGGCAGCCAACGATTCCGTGTGACAACAAAACAAAGAAGTAAAACTTATTCTTATAAAACAAATAACAGGAATATAATGCTATTAAATGGAACAGTATAGTTAACTAAAATAACATAATAGGTTTTTATATACAAAGAATGTTTTCAATTTTAGAAGCATAGTTTAAAAGGCTTTAGTTTATTAAAAGACTCATTTATAATCATAAACAGAGTATACAGATTATTATAATTTGAAACTCCAAAAACAATGTACAGATAGAAATGAAAGTCACTCAATTTTAGATGTAAATATATTAACCATAATAAAACAATTATACTCACAGCTTGCATTTCTATATAGAAGAAATGGTTCGTGGAGCTGAAATTCCAAATCTTTATTGACTGGTTCAACTAGATTGTGCATATTGAGTCGATTCACAATGGTAAAACCATGGTAAGGTGAAGCTGACCTTAGATTTAATAGAATTAGAAAAAAAGAAGAAAAAAAAAAACACAGAAGTAATCTGTGGTCAGTGTTTAATCTGCAGAAATGTTACCTACTTCAATTTCCATTTAAAACTGAATATATTGGCGAATTATACAATATTACAAGCACTTAAAAATGTAAACAAAAGACAAGTCAGACTACATCCCTCCTCTGCTCAGAATCCTCCAAGGACTCAGTCCCTAGAGTAAAGGCCAAAGTCCTTATTAAGGCCACCAAGGCCCTACCTGATCTGCTCCCTTCTGACCTCATCTCCCTTGCCCCTTCCCTTGTCCCCCTGCTCCGGACACACTGGGCTCCTTGCCCCTCTCCCAATCCTGTGGGTATGCTTCCACCTGAAGGTCTCTGTCTGGAAAGTTCCCCCAGAATCTGCAGTTATCTCACCTCCAGCAAGCCTTTGTTCAAATGTCATCTTCTCATTGAGGCCTACTACCCTATTTAATGCTGCAACTGGCTCCCAAGCTCAATTCCTCTAATCTTTCTCTCTTTTTCTAAACACTTCCACTAGAAAGTTCCACACAGATGGGGATTTTTGTCTTATTTTTTTCACAGATGTATGCTAAGAACCTAGAACAGACACACAGCGGGTGTTTAATAAGTATCTGCTAAATGAAAGTATCATTTATTTTAAATATGGTACAGGACTGGCTATAATAATGACATCCATCATTACAATTAATTATTTTTCTTGCACCAAACAAGTCTTTATACAGTTCTCTTGAATTAGATGGATAATGTCTTGAATCCTACAATAAAAAATGTCCTTGGTTTCCCACATCAGGGGGGACTCAATACACAATCCTTTAGATACTCCTCACATGTAGTTTCTCTGTGAAGTACACGGGGGAGATATGAGAATCCTATTTTACAGATTAGGAAACAAGCTCAGCATGACTAAGGCCTGTGACCAAAGTCACATAAATAATGTAACCAGAATTCAGCTTCAGATTTTTCGACTCCAAATCCAGGAGTCAAAAATTCTTCTATACTAAGTGGTCTCTGCAAAGTGGTATTCTAAAATGCAGGTATACTTTTATCCAAAGTACATACAATGTTTGCACATTTCCCAAAGAAAGTTTCTTTGGTCTTGTGTTATTACAATCAATACTGACCATGCAAGCTTGCACAAATTTTGTAAAATCAAGCCACTCACTACACTAAACCTCACATTTTCTATAATTAGTGCACATGCACTATAACAATAGGGTCAGAAAAGTACTTTCCAAATAATATAGATACCCAGGTTTTAACAAAAGTTGAAGAGTTTCTAGAAATTTATACTGAAAATGCAGAGTGATGAAACGGATTAGCGTAAAGGCCTTTAAAAAAACAAACAAACAAAGGATGAGTAAGAGGGAACAAAGTGTCAAAGAACTTGGTGTATAAATATCAAACCACCTATATTTAAAGAAAGAAAAAGATCCGTGTGTTTAGATAGGATCTCAAAGCTTTATACCAAAATTCAGAATATATGACAAATTTTTAATTTAGAATTAATGGAGAAAGGCATAAAAGATAACCCACACTATACACACACAAAAAAAAAAAAAAAAAAGGAAAAGAATCAATTGTCAATAATAACCCCTGCTGAGTCTGTTAGCTTTAGAAACCAAGGAAAGGAAACTGCACTTGTGAGAATGACCTTAGAGGGACAGTAACTCCATGACTAGCATATCCTGTCAGTCACCTTCAGGTCACAAAAGTTGCCTAACAAAACAAAGTTGCAATTTGCAAACCAATCATGTTTTAAGACAATAATTAATGCTTGGAGCAGTTGAAAATAAAAGGTGCAATTATGAATAATTCACATTTTTAAAGAACTCTTAAACAAGCTAAAAATACACATAAAAAAGGGCTGATATCTCAACTACATTATTTTACAGAGCTAGTCTATGTATTATATTTTTCTCAATTATATATCTTTTTAATGTTGGGGAGGGAGGGATGCATCTATTTCAGACTCATTCATTACTAGAAAATGCTTTCTATTTTGAGATGGTTCTGCTAGGTTCTTAAGTAAGTTTTGGTTCTGTAAGTCTCAGAGAACGGAAGTGACTTGGTTAGGATACCATAGCTAGGGTGGATGAAAACTTGAAGGCAACAAGCAGGAATGCCCTCCCCCCACCCGAAAAGAAGTCGAACCACTTCATATGATAGTTTTCACCATTAGGTTTTTAAAAAACAATAAATATATTTTTTAAAAAGCTTACCTTCGATATACAAATAAGGTCCCTTCTATATCAGTCTTCTCCTGTAATAGACAATGAATCAATTAGTGTTTTTCCAATCATTCAAACCTGAACAGTCCTAATGGAAAAGAAATGTGTCATGTTTAAGATCAATTATTTAAAATAATAATTAATAATAATAATAATTAATCAGTTGATGACAGGTAAGTCTCTCTCTTACTCCACCAATTGCTGTTACCAGTTTCTTATGCATTCTTTCACTGCATATAAACATATTCAATGTTCAGTACAGCATCGTATCTGTCACCTACATTTTTCTTTTAGCTAAAATATTTTAGCAAGACTTCTTAATTTTAAAGCCAAGTTCTTGTGCACAGCAGTTCTTCACCTTTAAAGTTTATTAAAGTTAATAGGAAAAAAGCAAGTTTTAACTTATAGGATAGTAGTTTGTTTCATCATTGGGGGATTTTGATGTTTTAATCAGTAGCAAATTTTGTGATTAGTTAACAATTACTGTCAAATACAATTGGTTGGCTATTTTTAGAACTTGCTTGAAGGAAATGTTGAAACTATGTAACAAAACAAAAGCCAGCTGCCATCAAGTTGATTCTGACTCAACGGAGACCCACAGAGCATAGGGTTTTCAATGGCTGTGACTTTTCGGAAGTAGACTGCCAGGCCTTTCTTCAGAGGTGTCTCTGGGTGGATGCAAACTGTCAACCTTTCAGTTAGTAACTCAGCACTGAACCATCTGTGCCACCCAGGGATTCCCAATTGTAACTATACTCTGCCTTAATTATTATAAGTTTTACAAATAATTTTTAAAATGTCTTGATTAAGAAAGTACAATTCATTACCATCTTCACTTGTTGGGACAAAAGTGTATTTAGGTGTTAAACACAGTTACATTTTTTTTTTTTTTAAAAAAAAAACAACCCAAATAACCATATTAGTCTGCAGTTCATAGCTTACATTGGACCTTAATGTTTTAATGTAATCAACAAACTTTTAGAAAAACGTCAAATGTTAACCATATCAAAGAGAGTTTGTTGGAATAATTTAAAAAAAGATAATCATCTTGATTTTTTTCCAGGGGTAGTATTGCTCTAGCTTAAATATCATCATGAAACTTTTCCTTCCTAAGGATTCAGAGGCTTTTTCTTGTTATTAGTATAAGAAATAGGTTATCAACTATCTCACAGTAAAAGAAAACTTGCCCATCTTATTTCATTGTGCAAAATTACAATTCACTGTAAAATTCAAAGAGAAAAGATTTTGGTTATGCTCTATGTGCCATGATCGAAATAAACAATGGCAGCTTATTTTTCAATTCAGGTTATTATAACTTGCATTTCCTATCTAAAACAGAACTCCACAATTAAAATTCCAAAGCACTTAAAGTCTTTGTGTCTTCACCATTTGTCCACAATCCACATTTGTGCCTAGCCACATATTTCCATGTAGACCAAGAGAAGAAAAACGATTCAGAAGGATTCAAGCTAAGGCAATGCCTAACACTGCTACATGTTTTTTAAAAATCTATAATTTTGTTCTTTGTGGCTTCTTCCCATACCTCCTTTTCTTCCAGGAGGTAGATGAAAGAAGATATAGGAAAACAAGAGATTTTGAAAACTCTCTTTTCTCAATTAACTGTTTATAAATGCCAAATGATTTGTACAGACTTAATGTGTATTATATTGTAAAAGGCATACTGCAAAAATAATTTTTCAGAGTTTTGTTAGTTGAGGGGTTTTTTAAATTTTTTACTGCAACGTGAACCTCAGGCACAGATGAATCCAATCCAACAAACATTTACGGACTATTTTCTAGATGTAAAGCCTGTAACTGACCGAGTTCATTAGGAAGGATCAATTACAATAAAACGAAAATTACGTTATTTAAACAATCAACGAAACTTCAAGCAGGGGCTAACAAGAGTCAAATGAACAGACAGAATGTAACCTTTAGGACCCCCTCCAGTGCAAAAAAAGCCAAAATGTACTTAGTATGATGGGAGCATTCAGAGGTGACATCACCAGCACCACACCTGGACCAAGAACACATCTACAAGGTATCTTTTCCAGAGCTCTCAAGGGAATCCAGATAACACGGAAGCCCTTTCCTAAGTGCCCTGCAATCTTTCCCAAAACTCCGAAAACAGTGTAGTTCCATTAAAGCCAGACTCACCCCATCACCTCTTCCAAGAATTGTAACTAACTGGATTTCAAGCTTTAAATTCAAATGACCTTTGCGGATGAGGCTCTCATTTACGTGTGTTGAGGAGGGGTGTTTATTATATATACTATGTATACGTAACTTATCTAATAACCCTCAAAGCCTCAAACACAAGCTTTCAGGCATCTGTCTGACTCCACGGGTCTCAAATTTCCCAACGCCTCTGCAAAGAAGGCAGGTCGCCCACGTCCCCGGAGCGGACCCCAAGCAACTCGACTCTGCTCCAAACCTCCCCTCCAATGGCTTTTTCCCAGGACATTTAGGGCCTACTTCTCTCGCTTCTACCCCTTAGCCCCAAAGGCCCCTTCGGTGCCCGCCTCGCTCTCCGCCAGTCACCGGCCTCCTTCATCGCCCCTCAGCCCCAGCAGCCCGCCCGGCCCCTTTAAGAGGCGGCGGCCGCGCGTGTGTCCTTCGTGGCCGGGCCACACTCACCCACTGATTGGCCTTAGGGCAGAAAGTGTACAGAGCGACCTGGCCCGTGAGGTCTGCGATGCTGGTGATGTAAGGGTCATGCCGTTTCAGGGCCGCCAGGCTCATCTCCTGCCCAGCTCTACTCAGCGACTCCATCTTGAAACCCGGAGCCGAGCCCCTTCGGCGGGGGCGGAGTCGCGGGCCGGAAAGTGCATCGAAGTAAAGTTCCCCTAGCTTCGTCAGCGCTTTCGATTTCCGCCTCTTCGCCGGGCCTTGCAGCGGGGCGGTGCTGCAACCATCCTGGTCCGCTCCGGGAGACCCGGACTCCGGGTTCCGGCGCCGTCAGGTTTCCTCCACTCAACCTTAACAGGCGGAGGGCGGGGGCGCTTCCTCTCCACAGGCTAAAATGTACTGGTGCTGGGATCCCGGCTTCCCGCGCGCTTTCTTCGAGCACCTGCCGAGCAAGGCCGGAGATCGAAACTACGCCTGCTTCGGTCCCGCACGCGAGAACGGCCAGGGCCACAGAACGGAAAGACCGCCGTGGAAATGCGGGCTACACCGGCCATTTAGAAAGCACAGAAAAGCGAAGGGGAGAGGGGCGCGAAAACTGCTTCACGTCTCACCAGATCATTACCGTTAACAATTTGGTGTTTTCTGAAGAAAAACATTTTAAAAGCCAAACTTGGCCACCTAGAACTTCACAGTAATGTTTTACCCTACCCACTTCTGCCCCTTATTTTCCTCGTCTTGGTCCCAAGTACATATTTCCACCGAGTTCTGGGACGAGCCTATGAAGGCTTGAGTTTGTCCTGTATAATTTAAAGGATGAAAAAGATCATTTATTCTTTTAGCAAACATCTGTTGAGCATTTTAAGGCATTTTTAAAGAGCAAGGTACTGTTGTTAGCTAAAGAGCAAAACAAGGAGCAGAGACTAGGGAACTCTCCCAGGCTTGTTAAAAAGCAATATTTTCTCTATTGAAAAGATATTTTCAATTGAGGAAATTCCTGAATTGAAAAATTTTGAAAGGAAAATTTCATAATTTCATCAAAATAACACTATAAATGTATATTGCACTATAAATAATGTCTATTGTTTTTATGATTTATAGCCTGGTACTGTTCGTTAATGGAAAGAAGCTTCCTGCCTTACTTTCTTTGCGGAATCATGTAAGAAGTATGTACAACTGTGGACAAGGAAACATGTATCACCCTTCTTAAGCAAGTATTTATTGAACTCCTAATTTTGAACTAAGGAGCCCTGGTGGAGCAGTGGTTAAGCAGTCAGCTGCTAACCAAAAGGTCAACAGTTGAAACCCACCGCTGCTTGGTGGGAGTGGGATGAAGTGACAGTCTGCTCCCTAAAGCTTTACAGCCTTGGAAACCCTATGGGGGTAGTTCTGCTCTGTCCTATAGGGTCGCTATGAGTCGGAATCCACTCAAAGACAATGAGTTTAGTTTTTTAATATTGAACTGTGGCCCTTTGGGGGCTTCAAAGTCTGTTAAGACCACTTCCTGGCTCTGGGAGAAACTGAAAGAAGTAGGACAATGCAAGGAAACAGGACAATGCTAGAGATGTTTCTTTTGAAACCCAGAGGATGGAGCCACTAACGCCATCTGACTCAAAGACTAGGAAGGCTTCCTGGAGGAGGGGATGTTTGAATTGGAGCTCCAGGTATTAATAGGAGTTCATCAGAAAAGAAAGGTAAGGGTTCCCTTTCATTTCATAGCCCAGGAGTTAGGTAGGGAAGATGTTGTCATCCTTGTTTGACAGACAATTTAATTGAGGCCCAGAGGGGAGAAATCACTGGCTCAGAATTCCACACTGTCAGAGGGGTTCTGGTGTTAAAATCCAGGGGCTCCTGCCTTCTACCGTAAGACCCTTTCTCTACACTCAGTCTACCTTTCTTTCTCCCAGTGGCTGAAGGCAAGAGCCTCACTCCCCTCCACCTACTTCCAACTGAATTAAAAAAAAACTCTACCCTCATTTAAAAAATTTTTTTAATCTTTTTTGAATAACTAATACATTCACCTTGTACAAAATTTAAAAAGCACACCTGAAACCGAGTAGTTTTTTTCCTCACATAGATTTCCTAGAATAATCTAAGACATTTCCTTTTTATTTACGATTTTTAGTTGTGCTACACTAGTGAAGTACACCAAGCTATTTTAGGGAGTTTTCATATTCTGAATAGAAAATGACATCAGAAAACATGTTTGCATGCCCCCAGACATGTTACTGTTGATTCCCATGCACTCTACTGTTAAACAGCTTTCAAAGTATCCTAAGGACAAAGTGAATATTTTGGAATTGAAAATCATCCACATTTACTTGAGTTCTAATTTTGCTTTGGAGTCCCTGAGTGGGGCACATGGCTAAGCACTGGACTACTAACTGAAAGGCTGGTGGTTCAAACCTACCCAGAAGTGCCTCTAAAGTAAGTCCTAGTGATCTGCTTCCGAAAGGTCGCAGCCTTGAAAACCCTGTGGAGCAGTCCTACTCTGCACACATGGGGTCGCCATGAGTCTGAATTGGCTAGACAGCAACTAACAACCAACAATTTTGCGTTACATATGTGAATCAAACCTTAAGACCTTTCGTGTGTCTTTTAGAAAATAAACTCTGAGAGAGCTAATACCTAGCATAGCCCCTGACATAGACTAGACCCTCAATAAATATTGTTGCATGAATGTCATTTTAAAACCCAAATCTTTCAAGGCCACACAAGAGATTAGTGGGAGGAGAGGGACATTGGGAGGCTGGAATCAGAAGTGGGAGGGAGGCTTACTGTACATTGAGTAACCCTTGGTCTCTTTTGAGTTGTGTGTTCTGCGTCACCTTTTTTTTTTTTTTCCCCAAAAAATTAAAAGTAATTTTAAAATGGTTAAAATGATAACATTTTAAAATATTTATTTTACCACAGTAAAATTTTTTAAAAAATGAAAATCTAAAACTCAATCATTCTAACCCTATCTCTCCCCCACTCTGAGTGACTGTGTGGTAAAAAATAAAGCTTGCCATTTCAAATCATGGAATCTAGTGAAAGGGACACTGGAAGACAACTTAGACAACCAGCAATTTAGTTCCAAATTCGCAAGCTGCGTAACTTTGTCAATTAGTCACTTTCCATTTTTCTACAGTAAAATCCAAAGCCTTTACCATGGCCTTCAAGACATTGCTCAGTTTGGCCTCCTGCTATCTTTCCAATCTCATTTTCTGTGAATTCCCCTCACAATTATTCCATTAAAGCCCACTGGCCTCCTTGCTCTTCATTGTACAAATGCCAAAAGAGTCTTGCCTTAGGGCCTTTGCACATGCTATTCCTCCTTCTGGAACATTTCCCTCTGACGTCCCTTGGCTTATTCCCTCACTTTCTTCATAGCACTTATCTGCAAGTTGTAATTTATTTATGTTTTGTCTGTCTCGCCGGCTCAGTGAAGGCGGGAAACATGTCTCTCTTGTTTACCATCACTTTCCCAGTGCCTAGCACAGTGCCTGCACAGAGGAAAGGCCTAATACATATTTGTTGAGTTAATTGGTATGTTAGGATGTTCTCTCTTTATCTGTTGCATAAACCTTGGAGAAGAGATGGTGTTTTAGCTCCACATCTAATAAAGCATTTGTTTATCATGTGCTAAACAAATAATGATGCCTAATTTACTTGTATTAATATATCTTGATTTTTAGACTCTATGCTTCCTGAAGCATAAACATTGTTTCTGGTTTAGCGTATCCCAGAACAATCATTTAGCACCTTTCAATCTTACAGCTTTCCCAGTGTCTGTTTTCTCTCTCTCCAATTTTTTTTCCCCGTACAAAAATTTATACATACATTGTTATGTGACCCTAATTGCTCTCCCCATACTGTGACAGCACACTCCTCCGTTCCACCGCTGATTCCCCATGTCCATTCAACCAGCTCCTAACCCTCTCTGCCTTCCCATCTCACCTCCGGACAGAAGCTGCCCGTTCAGTCTCTTGTATCTACTTGCACTAAGAGGCACGCTCCTCACCAGTATCACTTTATGTCCCACAGTCCAGTCCAATCCCTGTCTGAAGAGTTGGCCTCGGAAATTGTTTTAGTTCTGGTCTGATAGAGTCTCTCCAGTTTTTAAGATTTGGTTTAGAAAACATGTGCTTATTATTATTTCCCTTTTTAGACAGAGAAACCGAAGCAAACTAATTTTCCCAAGGTCATATGATGATTCACTTACTGAGTTGGGATTAACATCTTCTAGCCATGACTTCTGGGCAGATCACGTATCATGCCTGGTACACTCTTAAATTACACTGGCTACCTGTGAGTGAAATTTGTTATCCTTGTGCTGCTGTATCATCACCAATATTTATTTTACATGATTGATATCCACAAGGTTGTGGACTTACTCTAAAATTCATTGCCTGGTCCTTACCAGATACTTAGGATGGTAATTCCTTCCTTCAGTTTCTCCAGAAAGGTTTCAGACCTTTGTATTTTAAAATACTACTTTATGAAAGTATTTTTAAAGGTGCTAGATGTTTTCTAGAATTGCATTTCTGATGGGTAAACTCTTTTAGTTGATCAATTTTGGACCAGAAATACTAATGCTTTCAACCAGGAACAAAGAAATAGCTGTTCTATTTGGAGTAATGTAACTAGAATAAAAGAACATGAGATTAGAACACTTGTCTTAGTTACCTAGTGCTGAGGTAACACAAATACCACAAGTGGGTGGCTTTAAAGAGCAGGAATTTGTTTTCTCACAGTTCAGGAGGCTGTAAGTCTGAATTCAGGGGTGGCTCTAGGGGGAGGTCCTTCCTTTAACATAACAAAAGAAAAAATCCTATTTCCAAACAGGGTCATATTTACAGCTCCCCAACCAAAAAAACCAAACCCACCATTATTGAGTCGATTCTGACTCATAGCCACCCCACAGGATTTCCAAGGCTGTAAATCTCTACAGAAGCAGACTGACACATCTTTTTACAGCTACAGGGGTTAGGATTTCAACACATATTTTGGGTGGAAAAATTCAATCCACAACAAACACTGCTTATTTCATCCCTTTATTGCCAGGCAAGATTGCATTTAACAGTCTTCTTGATAATAGTTAGAAAGTTCTATGTTGTTTACTGTTACTTAACCCAATAGAATATTTCAAGTAGCAATAGCTCAGCAATGGCATAAACAGTAGCAATATATTCAACT